CCTTGCAGCTGAAGCTGCCATTACACCCATGTTCGACCCCTTCCTTCCACTCGCCGGAGGTCTTTATTGTCCTCCACTGATTCCTGCCGGAATCCGGCGGAATCCGGGCAATTCCTGGAATTCTGGAGGAATCAAATTTGGCAGAGGGCCCTGCCAAATTGATCAAACCATTCCGGCGGAATTTTGATGGAATTCAAATTCCGCCAGAATGGTTCCAGGAATCACCCGGAAGGAATGATCCCGGAATGAGACGGAACGGAATTCCTGACGCCCAAATCGAGTGTCGGCGTTTGCCGACGCTTGATTTGGGCGTCATCAACAAACAACTCCCACTCTCTCAACCACCACCATCATCCACGACGCCAACCCACCTCGCGACACCGCCACGTCACCAACGGCCACCACGACGCACACAACAACGACGTCCGTCGTCCTTTCACCACGACCCCAACACAACACCACGGCCACGACACGGAAACGACGCCCCAACGCCACGTCACCAGCCTCAGTAAACGAGCGCGCCAACACGTCGCTATCAGCGACGTGGTAACCAGACGACGAACGACGCGTCATAGGTGAGCACCCCCCATCCCAAGCTCGTCCCACCCAGCCTGCTAACACCAGGCACACGACGAGGGACAACCACGTCAACGCACGACCACGACCACCACGCCCACAGACGACGACACGCCTCACCACGTCAACGGAGGGCCACGCCAACAAACGACACGCCCACGACGACACCACCACCACGTCAACGGGCGACGACCGCGTCAACGGACACCCACGTCAACGGACGACGACGACGTCAACAGATGACGAGCACGTTAGTGGACGACGAGCGACCACCGCCACGTCAACAGACGACGACGACGAAGCCAACGGACGACGACAACGCCAACGGACGACAACGCCAACGGCCGACGACGACAACGCCGCCAACAGACGACAACGCCAACGGACGACGTCGACGCTGCCAATGGACGACCACGTCAACGACGACGAGCGTGTCCCGCTCCACCACGTACACACGGCGACAAGTGTTGTCCCTCCCCCTTTTCTTTCCCTCCCCCCTTCCTCCTTTCCTTTTCCCTTCCCCTGTCCCTCCCCATTTCCATGTACCCCTTTCCTTTCTCCTCCCTCTTTCTCTGTCTGTCCCTCCTCATTTCCCTGTCCCTACTCCCTTCCTTTTCCCTATCACCCTTCCCCCTTCCCTTCCCTGTCCCTACACCCTTCCCCCTTCCTTTTCCCTGTCCCTACACCCTTCCCCCTACCTTTTCCCTCCCCCTTCCCTGCCCATCCCTTCCTTCCTCCACCCCCATTTATTTCTGCCCCCCTCCTCCCCCCCTTCCTTTAACTTAGAATACAGTAAAATAATCTTTGTGTACCACTTCAATATATTAGAATTTGAATCTATATAACTGTTCTAAGAAGAAACTTGTGAGGTTATTATAGGACAAGATATAATAATAAATTGGCTGACTACATTAGACTTACAATAAATATGATAGGCATGAAGTCACATAGACTTGGGTTTGGATGAACAACATGCAGAATCTAATGTCTCTGAATCTGATTGAAATAAATAAATCCATGTAGTAGTAAGTAACTAGTCAGATGCCTTATGCCCTTGTTTAGTAAAAGATTTAGTGCTACAATTCTATTTGTCTGACCTAAAGAAGGAGATTCAGGGTCCAAAATTAATTAACCAGAAGTCCTAGTGTTCAATTTCTGTTGATTCCAGTTGGATTCCTGTCGATTCCGGCCGGAATTCCAGGATTCCGGCCGGAATCTAGGGATTCCAGTAGGAATCAGTGGAGGAATGGAAAGTATTGCACTCGCCCAACAGTGCGAGACGATGATCCAAGAAGCTACCCTCCATTTGCCCACCCATTTCGTGGCGGATCCCTTCATTGCCGTCATAAAAAATTTTCTCCCACCGTCAAAGACAAGCAAACTGGACCTCACGCAGAAGACTAACCCAACTAACCCTGGCCACCAAATTGCCATGATGATGCCAGGACCTCACAGCAAGAGACTGAACGACCTGGACAGGTTGAAGACTGCAGCTGTGACTGCTTTGGGGCACCACGCTCCTCCAGATATGCTGGTTGAGCCCGCTGCACCCAAAGTCACGCAAAAAAGAAAGTTGGAAAGTGCCGAGTTGGAGACCGACAAGGAGGCACCCTTGACAAAGTCAAAAAAGGGGAAAGGTAAGGGGCGAGTCAAGGCAAAAAGTGCCGAGGTTGTGGAGAGCGATGAGGGCGGGGAGGCGCCAGTGACAAAGGAAAAGGGGAAAGCTGTTGTGTGGGTGGAAATTGATGAGGAGGTGCCTGCAGTGAAGAAGAAAAAGGAGGCAAAGAGGGCACAAGTCAAAGAGGATGATGATGAATACGATGACGAAGAGGATGCGCTCAAAGGCAAAAAGAAGGCACCTGAACTCTATGACCTCATACCAGCGAAAGAAGTCCAGCTGAAGAAGAACTTGGTGCTCCATTTCCTCACTGATCCCACCAATCCCATCATCTGGGATTCCACAATGCTCCAGCAAGCCATTGACAATAAGGAGTTTGAGCCGCCAAAAACAACTGATCACTATGTGAAAGAAGCTTGGCTGTTGGAGAGGGATGAGAAGGAGGCTGGGGCACCCCGAAAGAAAGGAGGGAAAGGTGGAAAACAGGGGCCGTTTTATTGGGGCCCACATGACCAACTCGATTTCGAAGGGCCAGTTTTGTTCAAGTATGCCTATGACCCAGAGAGGAATCCAATCGATGAGAATGGCATCAGGAGGTACCTCGTCATGGATGTGTTTGCCATGCCATGCACCAAGTGCACCACTATGAAGAAGCCTGCTTTTTGCTGGTGGGGAGCCAACACCTTTGGGAAGGATCACCATTGATGAACAAGATCTGAACAAGGCCTGTGCTCCTTGCAAGGAGTCTCAGCATAAATGCCCAGGCCATTCATGACTGAGGCAGTGGACCATCATCAACAATCTGTTTTACAAGGATGGTCTGCTCTACAAGGAGGCCAAAAGTCTACACCCAAACCCACCATGCCCAAGGCCACGGCACCCAAAAATGCCATGCCCAAACTTGTGGCACCCAAAGCCGCAGCACCTACACCAGCCCCCAAACCAGCAGCCCCCAAACAAGCAGCCCCCAAACAAGCAGCCCTCAAACAAGAAGCACCTGTGGCAGTCAAGGTTGCAGGGCCGTCGAAGCCCCAGGTAAAAGGTATTGTGCCAAACTCCCCATGCCCAATGCTCTCTGAAATAGTGCTTGGAAGTCTGGTTTTTCAGTTTTTAAACCTTTTTTTGGGGCTAGAACATTGCCATAAAAACTCCCTGCTACAATTGGGGTTTGCAAACACAAAATTTCAGGGTCAGTCTGGTCTTTTTTCCAGTCTAAGACCGGAAAAATTTCCTTTTCTGGTGCCCCAGGTTCATTGGGGAATTTTAATGGCAACATGCTAGCAGCAAAACTGACCAAAAAGGCAAAAAACCAGACTTCCAAGCACTACTCTGAAATGTCTTTGTTAGATTCCACTCCAAAGGCCAAGCCAAAGGCCCAGCCCTCAATTGCATTGCCCTCAGACTCTGCGCCCACTGAGATTGGTAAATCTCTTCAAATGAAGTCCAGCCATCCAACTGACCAATTCAATTGCCCAGCTCGTATGGAGGACCGCATCATCACACTCAAAAAACAGTGCAAGAGACTTGCGGCGCAGGTGGAGGAGACAAGGGAGAAGCTCGACAGTGTCATCAAAGAGCAGAAGGAAGATGTGGCCGAACTGCTCCTCAAGCTGAAGAAGATGGAGCAATCGGTTACCTCAACCAAGGATTGGACAATGCAAAAGGTGATCTTCGCGATGGAAAGCCTTTTCCTCCTTGGAAATGGCATCCATCCAGCACTCCTAGAGTTGGTGATGAAAATGACTGATCTTCTAGAGGAGATGGGGGCACTGGTATTGGTGGAAAGCAACGACTCAGTGGCGAAGGTGAAGGAGTTGTCAGTACTTTACAGTGCCCCACCTATTCCTGCAGGAATTCAGTCATTCCAGTGGAATTCCGGTGGAATCCACAGGAATCTGCAGGAATCTGCAGGAATTACACAGGAATACAGTGGAATTCCACTGGAATCCTCTGAACTCATGTGACTTAATAACCAACTTAATACTCAGAATAAATTTGAAGTCAATAAACCAAATTATAATGTATTTAAAATGACATAAAACATATTTTATTATATACTACTATATACAATCTATATTTAAGGAAAGAGAGGTACAAGGCAAGGGGGTGGGGACAAGGGGAGCAGGCTATGGAGAAGGAAAAGGGGCAGGGAGAAGGAAAAAGGGCAGGGAGAAGAAAAGGGGTAGGAAGGGGTGGAGAGTTATGGAGGGGGTGA